TTTTGACTGCTTTTATTGTCCTCATTTGTAAGTCGCTTTGGATAAAAGCATCTGCTAAATGACTAAATAAATAAATAAATTGTATATCATGAATTAATATATAAATATGTATTGTAATATTATAAATAAACATACACAGTAGACTGCTGTACAGTAATCGCTTAATTTTCTTTGTCCGACTGAAATAAAATTATATTTATTTTATAGAGCAGGTCTGGATTTGCTAAATATTGTATTTGTTATGCACTTAAATAACTTCTGAATTGTCTTGTGATTATTCTAAAGTCTTCTTTTATTTCTATCTACTACATATGTAGATGATAACTATACTATACGTTATTATACATTTCTGTAAAAGTTTGGTGTCTGTAAAATTTTTAAACGTTTCTGAGTCCTATGCTCACCAAGGTTGGATTTGTTTAAAAAAAAAAAAAACAATAATAACAGAAATATTCTGAAATATTATTACAATTTAAAATAACGGTCTACTTTTTAAATATATTCTAAAACGTAATTTATTCTTGTGATTACAAAGCTGAATTTTCAGCAGCTATTATTCCAGTCTTAAGTTTCACATAATTCTTCAAAACTCATTCTAATATGCTGATTTGGTTCTCAAGAAACATTTCTTATCACTATTAATGTTGAAAACACTTGGCTACTCAATAATTTTGTGGAAACTCTGATACTTTTCAGGATTTTTTGATAAACAGAAAAGCATTTATTTTCAAATGTGAATACATTTTTGTCATAAAAGTCCACTGTTACTTTTGACCAACATACAGTAAGCATTCTGCAATAACACATTGCTAATTTTGTTTCATACTGACTGTAACAATGTAAGGAAATGTTGAGACTGGACCTTTCTGAACTAATAAATCTGTTACATATGAATGCTATAGGGGGAACACTGTAGCCAGAAATAGATCAGAGGCATAACACAATTTGAACAGTTTTATTAACCAAGTTTTCAAGCATAAAGTTACCTTGGTTACTTTGATTGCCAACTTGTATGCACTTGCACTTGTAACTGCAAATGAGTTGGAGCTGACCCACAGAAGGGTGCTGATTAGTCTATGATTTCCCTCATGAATTTCAGTGTTTAGGTGCCAGAAATTACAGGTTTTATTTGTGTAATCACCGCAACTTGGGTATTCAGCAGGATAGTTGAAGACCCTGCCCATTCATAACATGAAGATTATGAATGAGGTATATGACAAAACCTGCTAATCATATATTTATATAAGGCAGGCACGAACAATGCCAGGTAATCAGGAAACTACATACATCAAAAGATGATTTTGAGGACATATGATGTCCTGCTCTTTTCATGATTGTATTAGTGAATAGATGGATGATGGAAAACGGAACACATTTGAGATTAGCAACAACAGAAGCACAACAGATGAACTGAAGAGGACGTTACTGATTTAGCTTTATATGAAAGTTAGAAATTCAGTGCTTGTTTTTCCAGATCAAACTCGACACACCCTCGTCTTGAACAGTATTTCATGTTCAGGGCTGAATAATCATTATTTAGTGTATGATTCATTGAATAATGATTAATTCATCCTTAATTATAATAATTATAATAAACACTGTGTCGTGATTTCTGATTGATACTCCCCGGAATAAGAAATAATTATTATTTCTGTGAAAATAATCCACAATCATTGACTACATAACACTAAGAGCCTTTTTGGAACACAGAAGATATTATGAAGAACTGCTTTGACCATAAAATGAAATTCAATGGGGTCCAAAACAACATTGACTTTCACTGTATAGACATTTTTGAAAATGTCTTCTTTTGTGTTCCACAGAAGAAAGTCAAACCGGTTTAGTCTGTCTGACATAGGGGTCAGGAAATTATGATTTTTGGGTGAACTATCAAAAGGAGGTGGGCAGTACCTCACATAAGACTTACAAGAGTACAACACTCACTTTCACCAAACACATCAAGTTGTTCTAAGGAGCTCTGAGTCGGTGCTGTGAAAGCTGTCGACTCTCCTAACCTCTGACTCAAGCAGAGCAATACATAAAGCACAATCACTATTCCATTGCTGTCTTTAAGCTTTGCACTCTATTTGTGCTGACAGCCCATTTAACAATTAAGTCTACTGTAAGGAACCGCAGGCTCTGGGAATTCCGAAAAAACTATGAGCACTCTCAATTATTCATCATGGTAGTGCAGGTTTTTCCAGATGTCTGTTATTGTTAGAAACAGGCCACTCTTTAACACAAAGAAGGCTTTCTCACAGCTTAAAGTGATAGTTCACACTAAAATGAAAACTCTCATCATTTACTCATTGTTCCAATTCTGTATGGGTTTCTTTTTTCTGTGGACTTTCATTTTTTATAAAATGAAAGTCTTTACAGAAAAAGACTTTTTATGGACAAAAAAAAACACTTCTTTTAAACACTTCAAAATATCTTCTCTTGTGTTTCACAGATGAAAGAAATGGTTTGAAACAACACGAGGGTGAGTGAATGATGAAAGAACTTTTATAGAGTGCACAATACAAGAATTAAGCTACATGAGAATATATATATCTATATTTTTTTGGAGTACATTTTACAAGAAAATACTATTTCAGTCTTTCACAATTTCATGTTTAATATAATGTATTAATTGCCATTTATTTGTAATTATTTGTTAAATTTACTAGCAATTTTTAAGTGAAAACTGTTTCACATCCTACACCATTTTTTTTTTCAGTGCAACTGAAAAAAAGCCACTTGCGGAAAAAGATAGCAGCTGACTTGCAGAGGAATTAAAGGAATTTCCCATCTAATAATAATGGCAATATGAGCATGCATGAGGTTTCTTTTTCTGTGTTGTGGTAAAACCGTGGCTCAGATGAAAACCGCAGCGTTTAATCTCAGTGCAATTTACCTTGCGTGTCACGCCACAGGTGTGCTGATTTATTGACAGATTGTTACATCACAGCCTCTCAGCTGGATGCACTAATGCTGATAGTGCAAAAAAAAAAAAAAAAAATCCTGAAAGGCAAGTTGAACACCGTCACTATGACAATATGATGAAATGTATCAACTAATAATAGTCTGACATCTATAGTGCTATAAAGGTTCTTTTCCAATTTTGATTTGTAAAGACCAGCGCAGCAGGAATATGACTTCACCTTCTCTGTTTGTATTCATTTGCTTCAGACTGCCTGCTGAAACATTAATGCCTGTCTCTGTTTCACTGTTTCTCACTGAGGCAGGGGTCCCGCTGCCCAGCTGACAGCACAGATTGCACTTTGCCTGAGAGAAAAAGAGACAATGAGAGTGAAAGCGCGACAAATATTTGAAATTTTAAAATAATACAGAAATAATGGAAAAGCTATAGTAAAAAAAAAGTGTTTAATGGGATATTACATGCAAATTAACTATAAAATTATATGAAAAAATGTTTTTTGAACAACAAAAAAAGGATGGTTGAAACTTGAAAATCTGTATTCTATAGTCAACAAGATAATGCATATATATATATAAACAACGTTTTGTCTTTAAGTGGCCTTCTATTTTACCACCTCTGTTATGGTGGTTATGAGCAGAGAATAATACTGTAGTTTAATTTTCCTCTTGACCATAGATGTCAGTAAATCTCATCTAAAACACGTTGAATGTTTATGCTTTTATTAATCTGGGGGTGGGGGATTTGTGGACATAGTAATTTATTTCTATTTGTAGGGTAAGAAATATTTGTATTACTTTTTTATGATTATTTTTATCAAAATAAAAAAAACAGATGACAGACGGGATATTTTTACCCCAAATAATAATACATTTTGCTAATTGAGCAAATTAACCCTTTTATTAAAAAAATAAATACATAAATAAATTACCATCCCCCCCCCCTTTTTTTATGTATCATCATCATGTACATTCTAAACTCATTATGAAATATGAATATGGTACAAAAAAACATTGCTGCCGTTTTACCTGTATTCGGTGAGGGAGGGAGACACAGAGATAGCGTGCATGTGCGTGTGTGAGAGGGAGAGAGAGAGAGAGAGAGAGGAGGGTGCGAGAGAGGGATAGACAGAGAGACCGAGCTAGAGCGAGAGCAAGGTGCACACGTTGCTCAGCCTCATTGCAGCCGCGACAGGCAGCCAGAGAGGAGCTCCAATCTAACTGGTGGCAACAATAGACTACTGAAAACACAGCTTGACCGATCAATAGACCTTTGCCAGAAACACCAGTACATTTTCCGTTTTTTTTTTTTTTACGGTGTCTCAGTAAATGCAAAACTGTTCTTATGGAGGCATATTCCACTATATTTAAAGATACAAAGTTTATTACATTTGCATAAACAGGCTGGTATATTATCATCCCATCAGTTAAATATATATATATATATATATATATATATATATATATATTGTGCATTGTATATAATGGACTAAAATATGCACCAAAATGCCTCCTGTAATGCTTGAAATATTGTCACAGTGAGCTTGTGCCAACAAAAGCTGCCACCTTTTACTGTAAATTGAACAGGCTTTTTAGTGTGAGAGAGAATCCACATCTCATCCTTTTGTTTCTCTCTCTCTCTCTCTCTCTCCATTCTCCTTTCTCTCCAGCTTTCTCTTTCAGAGCGAAGCCGAACTGAAGCTAGTGGGATTAGTTCTGGACCGGCTACTGTTGGCTATTGGAACACCCTCTAGAGGCTGCAGGAGGAGAACGCCAGCCCTGGCAGATCGATACAATGGGAGAGAGAGAGAACAAGACAGAGGGTAGAGAGGCATAGGGAGGGTAGGAGAAGGAAAGAGAACGAGAACGGGGGGTGTCGCTGGGTGAGGGAGGGACAACTACAAGCAGGCCATTCACAGGCTGATTTCCACAAAACTGTAAACAATGTGGCTCTGTGGTTTGGTTTGTTTGAATAAAAACTGGAATTCACTACACAAAATTTACCCAGATTTTTTTCACTGTTTGCAGTCTGGATGAGTCGATGATGCTAGTTGTCAAAAGACGAAGGCAGTCTGATTGTGAGAGGGAGAAAGCTGCTCAAGGACCAGGGAGGAGCAGATAAGGTGAAGATCTAAAGGCAATTACAGCACTGGGTTCCAAAACTAGGTAAGTTGAGCGTCTGGTGTTTAATAAGTGTTCTCTTCTCATAGCGGCTGTGCTGTGCTTGAGGGGTCTGACTGGGGAATGGGAGGGGGCTAAGGTAATGAATTGGTTTGTGGGTTGCGCATCAATCAAAACATTATCATTCTGAGCTTCAGACCGAGTATCAGGTTACTGAAGTCACATCAAGGAGCAGACCGGGTCTGGTGTAACCAAAGCTGTATTCTTCTTCGATTACATCATTTACATGCATTTGAATATGTATTGAGTAGATTTCATTTAAGCCGTACTCCAGAAGTAGGATCAGTTTTATGCATTCATGTTGTTTTGAATGATTCAAAAAGTACAGAAAGTAAAAACATTGCATGGATGGTTGGTTTCATGAAGTTGGTTTCATATGCTCTTTTGATGCTATGTTATGATTGCATAACTTTACTTTCAGTAATATTTGCCATTTCGTTAATAATATAGAATATGGTTATGGAGTATAATACTTAAAATTGTAGGAAGAGATTATAAGTATATATAAATAAAATGCTCTATATATGATGCTTTAGAAATTGTATGGAACTAAATTCACTATACAGAAAATTATGTCATAACATTGTTACTGATATCTGAATAGTACAATAATTTGTCACAACAAATAGCTGTAGTATAAATCGTATATGTATTCAATATATCTTATGTTACATTGTTTATTTTTTTCTTCTGAATTTCATAATTAAATTGTTTATTTATTTATTTTTTATTAATTTTAGATTTTTGTCATTTTTTTAATGGTGAATAATGTCACATTGGCAAATTTCTACATAAATCATGCCAGTAAAGTTCTTTGAAATTGAAATTGCTTAAATAATTTGGATTCAACCAGATTAACTGAAAACAAATGTATTTAATTTAATCATTTATTTTGATTTTTAAAATGTATTATTTGTATATATTATATATCATCATTTAAATTACTGTACATTCACTATATATAATATTTATTACCATTATTTTTAATATGTCACAACATTGTCTCTGAAACTTGAATATCAGAAACATCTGAACATATATACAGAAGTAACTGTATTCCGAAATATAGACAACATATTTTTTTTAAAGGGGTCATATGATGCGATTTCAAGTTTTCCTTTCTTTTTGGAGTGTTACAAGCTGATTGTGCATAGATAAGATCCCTGAAGTTGCAAAGACTAAAGTCTCAAAACCAAAGAGATATTCTTTATCAAAGTTAAGACTCTGCCACGCCCCCCTAAAACGGCTCGTTCTAACACGCCCCCACATATCTACATCACTATGTGGAAATATTAGCATAATGATGCCGAAATGTGCACGCAAAGAAAGAAGGCGCGGTTTCAGTAACCGCAGTTAGTGTTGAAGCAGCATATCAGGGAGACGCTGTGTGTTTCTAGACGAAAGCAAAAGCACTTTATTTGGCCTTCCGAAACTAGATGCATTTAGGAATCTTTAAGATTACTTACAACAGAACAGCAATGCATTTTATGGACGACCGTTTCGTGAACCTAGGAGAGGAGGTAATTCTGACACATATCCACCAAATACACCAAATAATGATCTTTAAAACAGCATCATATGACCCCTTTAAATATGGAAATAATATTTTAAAAAGTACATTGTACACACAGTTACTTTTGTGCTGTTTAGAAATATAAATACAAAGATAATATATTATAATTATATATTCAATAGATTTTGGGGCAACTCTATTACTTCAAACTTTTACATGTAGCAGCCATTTCCTTCAAATGCAGATGTAGTTTGTTTTAGGAATCAATCAAGAATGATCTGTTTGCTCTGTGCAGTTTTTTTTACATAGATGTTTTCTGAAAGCCATGCAGCCTCACTGTACCCCAGAGTGAGCAATTATTCTGTGCAGTGGGCAAACTTTCCATCCAAATAGTTGGCGATGCTGTTATGGGCAGATAATGATGTCACCATCCATCCTGTGGATAAACTGGCTGTTTATTTCTTCCCCTACATCCTGTGCCACCTTTTTCAGAGAAATATTCTCACGCTTGCTGTTGTGCATCCATTCCTCCTCCCTGCAGAGCTGCACTGTGAGGGATATTGTCGTATTTCTTAAGTGTTTGATTTGTCAAAGTCAGTTGAACATATTGTCCATGGGCAGAGAGTGTGGTATCGGCATGATATTAAAAATCTGGTGTGGGGGATCCTTTCTGCAGATTTATAACTGGAGTATAAATCGCTACGAGACCTTTTCTTCACCGCGCAGCCATGTGAACGAACGATACCGCATGCCTTCCCACACAGTGTAAGATGAGAGCCCAGGGGTACATGGTAATCTCTCCGTAGGTAGATCACACCTCTCCGCGGCTCATTCCTTCCTTCCTCCTGCTCCTCTTTCATTAGTCTTAGGCATGATTTCAAAGCTTTCTCTGAGTCTGAGAATTCAGATAACGTGCTCTGCTCCCACTAGCACGCAGAGGCATATCTATTAAACATGCAGCCATCAGAAGGCTCTCTCAACCAAATTTATGGAAATGTAAATCAATAATGTGGATAAACAAACATTCAACTTTAAAATGTTTGCTTTGGCTGAAATGGCAAACGGCACACTCACTGCCAGGATAAAGGTGCTGAGAATGACATGCGAATTCAAATGATGCTTCCACACAAGAAGATACACCTTTTGAAGATATTTTGAAAAAGGTCTTGCTTTTTTTTCCTCATAATATGGAAGTCAATGTGATCCGATGTCATTTTGAACCCAATGACTTTGATTATATGGGCAAAATCAATTGAAACATTCCTCAAAACATTTTCTTTTGTGTTCCAAATCACCACATTTTAATTTTTGAGTGAACCATAATTTTAAGATTATGCAACACAACAATATAATGACAAATCATGGCTTTCTATTGGTGCTTATTATTGGTTTGCAGAGCTGCTGTTTATCCACCTTAAAATGTGGAAATATTGCCATGTGCCGAATATTCTGACTAATGAGGGGACAATTTGTTTGATGTGACTTTTATTAACACATTTTGGTTCATTTTGAAATGTTGCCCTCTGAAAGCGAAATTAACCAAGCAGAAAATACCCCGTTGGTCTACAAAATATTACAAATCTGAAGTAACATTTCAATATGGTAAAACAAATTTTTATTAGTAGTAGAAGTATTATTTAAAGAAAATGGGAAAAAGCGAATTGGGAAAAGCATATACCATACAATGTATGGTGAAAATCTATATTACATTCAACTACACCCTGAAAAAAAGGTGCACAAACAATTTTCACTTAAAATGTTAACTTAAAAAGTAAATTTAACAAAGAGTTACAAAGAAATGGCAAGTGACATACTGAATTAAATTTGAAATTTTGTAGAAAAACTCATAGTATTTTCTTATAAAATGTACTTGAATAATCTTTGTTTCCAAAATTTTTTTACAGTGTACTTAAAATGTTTTTCGTACAGTAAAATGTCTAATGTAAAAAAAAAGATATGAGTCACCTCATAATTTAGTATAATATAAACACACCTGAGCAGCAATATCTTGTGTTAATCATGATTGCATAATAAAATTAGATTTTTCTGATACTTTCCCCTCTCAGTGAGATTAATTAACATGTAGCGGCATGCCTGTGGGTAACCAAATAGCACAACTGTGTTAGTCTATGAGGAAATTAATAATTTACATAATATTTCAGTCCAGGGGCTTTGCCTCTGCACAATGCCCAGCAGTGACTGTGTTGCAGAAGTTTCCTCTTCTCTTGCTATTAGACTGCTAAATGGTAATTAAGCCAGGGCCCCATTTGCATGCACTCTGCGGAAGAACACGAGCGTTTAAAAAGAAATCGGGCTGCATACATTGGACCACCCGAGGATCATTGTCCAAAATAAACGCAGGTTGAGGCGGCTGCTCTCTTTGCACTCCCTGTTCAACTGCCCATAAATGGCTTTCAAGTGACTATTCTTTTTTGTCATTGACTTAAATACAGCTTAGCTGATGGATCCGCTTACCATAACGCTATGTTATTGCAGTTTGTGTGCGTTTTTAATACGCTCCTGCTGTTGAAATGACCCTTTTGAGCACTATTGTTCTCAATTGAATTACCAACCCTCAATGTTCAGCATAAGTCAAGGACATGTTAGTCGACAAAAACTGTTGTTGCTGAAGACAATTATACCATACAAAGGAGGCATTTCTCGTTCACCCCCTCAAACATGAAGCCGTGGTCCGTTCTGTCATGGGTTCAATCTGTTTGATAAATGCTTGTTTTGGTGTTCACCTTCTGAAAGCCACACTAGCTATAAATATTAACAGGGTACAAAGTGAGCAAGTGATGGAGAAAGAAATTTACTTGAACCCTTGCCTGCTGCTCATGCACCTGGTTTTTACCTCTCTTGACACCTTTTTCTGCCTACAAATGTGTCCTAATACTCCTGCATATGATTCCCCGGCTTCAATGCAGTCAGTAGGGGGAGCCGGTGAGCTCTTGCTTTGATTTGGAAATGTGCTCATGGCTTGATGATCGTTTCAGCACATCAGAAAATTACTGAACTGCAGTGTGATGCTCTAAATTAATGGGATTAATGTTTATTTGGCTAATCTGATTAGTGAGTTAATCGGATTGAACTGCTTCAGAGTGTGCAAGAAATCCTGTGAGTAAAAAACAGATTCATCAACATGATTTAAAGGTGCAGTGTGCCATTTCCACACCACTAGAGACACCAAACAGGATTTCAAAATTATGAATGTATGGTTAAGTTGTATTTACAACACTGTTCCAGAACAGTTCAACCCAAATATTCTGACGTGTCCAGCGCATTTTATGGAGGACTGTTTCCTGGGAGAGTAGACTACAATGCCGGCTGTTCTGACTCACAGACTGCAAGTACGTTTTTATATTTAAGCAATTTGCCACTGACGATTCAAACGTGAGTTTTAAACAGTGTAGAGTAGCGTTTGTAGTTTGTCATTTCTCCGATCACAAATGCAGACATGGTTTTATGTTTA